CATAATAGCACAGTAGGTGGCGATATGCGCAAAGATTGCAACTCGCCATAAAACCAAGAAGAAGAAGAAGAAGAAGAAGAAGAAGAAGACAGCTGACGCAGAGGTCCTCACAGCACATGTGACGTGAGCTGCTGTGAGGTACCTTACGTAAGTTTTACTTGTGTGTGTTTTTTTCCCCATATATTGAATGTTTTTTATTTCACATTATTTATAGTATTCAGTCTGCATGACTTAGTTTTATAGTAATAACATGAGCGATGTGATTGTGCAGAAGAGGGCATTCAGTGAACTTAATGCGAGGAGCTGTCAGCTAGCTGAAGTTAAACCATAGCGGTTGTTTTATGATATTCATCAGTTTTAAAGAACCAACAATGCAAAATATACATTTCTAAAGAAGCATATAAGCTGCTCTACTATGGGATTAGATCTCTGCCACAATTTGGCGTGTGAAAGATTATATTTTGAGCGCGCACAAACTGAGTTTTGTGGAGAAAATGTTTGTCTCGCAAAGAAGAAAGTATTTCGAGCGCACGAAAATCAATTTTGCATTTAAAATAAGTTTTTGGATTTGTGCAGACCTTCTCTTTTGCGCGTGTAACGTTTCATTAGCTAGCTCACCTGAAGCCCACCCTCAGTACTCTCTAAATGCCAACGGCTTGCTTGCTCAACACAACCCAGCATTACAATAGGCCATAATTCCAGCCAATCAGAGACAAGGCTGATAAATTCTGATTGGCTGCCTTGACAACCAATCACAACATTCCTTGCATTACCACGACAGCTATGGCATCAAAAGTGGGACAAAACAGCGCAAGCGCATGAACACAGCGCGCAAGCCAATTACAGTAATGTGCACACAGTTACAAAGCTCGCACGTAAAATGTAAACCTAATGAAATGGCAAATTCCAAACTCGAGCACAAAAAATATGATTGTGTACACACATCAGCATGCTGCAAGGACAAATAACAAAACTGCGAGCAGAACCCGCACGTGCGCGCAGATCTAAACACAGGTGCAAGTAATTTCTGCACGCGCGCACAGATCTAAACACACGCGCAGATCTAAACACGTGTGAGCTGAACCCTTCACGCACAGGAAGTTTTGACAGTCAGGGGGCGGGGCCTAACGTAAGCTTGTTGTTTTAACAAATGCTATTGGCTGCTGGACATATCCTGTATTGATTGACTGCTCGTCGTCTGACTGGCTGTTGATTGGCTGTTGTTGGCCTTCTCCTGACGAGACAGAAGAGTAATGCTGAGTTCACACTGCACAAAACACATCGGCGATGACCTACAGCCAATGAAAGACCAAGATACAGGGCAGCGGGAAGTTCGGGGAGGAGTTATATAAAATGTAGTTTGCGGACCAGTGTTGCCAAATCCGTGATTGTTGCCGATTGTTTTTTTATGTCAGCAGGTTGAAGCGACCCCAATAATGTGATATTTAGGCCCTGTAATGTGAATTGTACCAGGAGAACCCCGCCAAACATATGTATTTTACCCCCCGAATGCGATTTTTACTCTTCCTATTGTAAAGTCATGCAGTGTGTAACCTCCTGTCGTTCCATCGTGCAGTGTCAACACAGCAACAACTGAATGCTACCCCAGATAGTCGTTCAGTGTGAAACCAACAGTGATGCGACGTCTTTGAAAATCGTGCAGTGTGAACGCGGCATAAAGAGGTAAGTTTTCTTTCTAAATTCCATTAAAGATATAGCTTTTAACACGATCGTTAACAAATCGAAATGTGTTATATATTTCCTTAGTTGGCTCATTCTAAATAGTCAGTGTCTTTTTTTGTCCCTCATTAACGTGTAAAACAATGATAATGATAAGCTGAAGCCAACATCTACGACATGTTATTATAGGTAATGTAGATAGTAGGGATGCTCCGATCAGGATTTTTGCAGCCGATACTGAGTACCGATTTCTTGTCATGGTGACCGGCTGATACCGATTCTGATGCTTCAAGCTTTATATAGACGGTTTCAATGGGCGCACGCGCCTGGCCTGAAGTTAAACTTCCGGTCTGTATTTGTTTATCAGTCAGGCTATGGCACCGGCTACAAACGCAGTTAAAGTTAAGGTGATGAGTAGACTGAAGTTGGGCTCAGGTGGTTGTGCTGTGGGATGTTTCCCATACATTTATTTATTTTGATGAGTTGGGCTCAGGTGGTTGTGCTGTGGGATGTGTTTCTCATACATTTATTTATATGTGGCGCTCGCCACAATATCAAAACTGACCGATTTTCCTAAAGGCTTCGTTGAATAAACATGAGCACGTACTGCACGTTTAAAAATCAAAACGAGGCGTGGGTGTTATATCACTGTATTTCTGAAGGAAGACTAGCTTTAGAAAATGTTCGATGTCATTTTCATTTCATCTTGCATGTTATATGCCTGATAAAGCAGCGTTTGTGAGCTCAGCGCTGCTTTGTGTAAAGCTGTTACTGGGGAAACCTCTGTTTTTGTTCCGTCCTCCACGCTGTGACAACTCACAAAATAAAATTTTTAACCAAGCAGCGCAGAGAGCCGCTTCAGAAGCGTGCCGCGGGTGGCTGATAAACACAAGCATTGACTAGAGCGGCTGCGATCAGCTCCAGTGGCCGTGGAGCCGTAATGCGCCACAGACGCGTGCAGTAAGGCGCAGATCAGCTCTAACGTCACTGAATCTGCTGTTAAAAATGAACCATCTATTCATCATATCATCATGCAAAACATACACGACAAATGGCAAACTTTTCATTGTTTCTCGAAACGTCATAACATTTCCACACCGGCGATGACATGACTGCGGCGCCAAATCATTTATGTCCCCACACATCATGTACGTCGTCACGCGTTGACGTCATGAAATTGCGATCGGTTCCTGAGATCGGCCAAGTTGGTGAGTACCGATCGAGTCATAAAATATGATTATCGGCCGATACCGATCTCCGGTCGATCAATCGGAGCATCCCTAGTAGCTAGTTCAGTAACTTTATTTTAACTGTTTTTTCGTCGTCTTTATTTACAAGAATTTCGTTTGACCTGTGTTTTTGATGGATATTCTTCTGAAATGGCTAACCCAAGTTTGCATGCAAGTAATTAAAATATTTAGTCAAATGTTTATATAACTGACTAGTGATACTTTATTAATAACCATCTCTTGGATTAATCTACATTTCTCCTACGCCTCATGACGCTTTGTGCGAATTATGGGAGTAACTTACACTAAACAATCAGCGAAAGATTCGCTCTTTGAGCCAAAAATAAGTATTTTCAAAAACTGGGTCAATTTCCAATCTCTG